TTTTATTATTTTTTCCTCCAGTAAAACAGAAATGCCTTCCTATTTTTGTTTTTTTTTTTTACTCAATTACTGACAATGTAATATAATTTTTCATTCAATTAATTTGTAAATAGAAATGTTTTCCAGTTACAGCTGCAGCTGAAAATGACAAATAAAAAATGATAACTGCCTCTAACATATGTTATATTATATACATTATGTATTTTAATTTTAAAATTATATATATACATAAAATAATTTTTATCATTTTACATTACTCCTTAATGTTTAATTAGATGACCTTCACATGATCACCACAGACTGTCCTTTTCTAGCATTCAAAATGTCCTTCTTTTTTCCTTCTTTTGGAGACATTTATTGAATGGCTCCTTAAAAATAAAATGCAATTTTCATCACTGTAATTGTGTGTTGGACATTAACAGTCTCCTGTATGTATAAATTATGTAAGTATACATGTACATATGCATGTATACATTTATAAAACTGGTGTCCCAGTTTTATTCTTTTTCGATCTGAGGGTATCACCAAGATGGTGTTGATAAATAGTGCTTCTGATTTACATTTACATTAAGTATATTAGTCCAAAAAAATCTAATTTTTTTCTTGATCATCTCATTTTAACACAAACTGTTTACAGAGTATATTGAATTTAGTAAGACTACAGCTACAACAAGAAATTGTACTGAGTTTTTCACCCCTCTTCAGCAATGTCAGGAAAGTTCTATTTATTGGAATATTATTCATAAATGCCATAACTAAAATCATGTTAAAATTTATCTATGAAATTTAGTTTTGGATGGGCAAGAAATTAATTACCTTAACTTTAAAATGTATTCTCTTCAATATTGATTGGATCCAATATTGAAATGTGAAATCTCATGTGATATTGTAATCCTCAGTATTGGAAGTGAGGCCTGGTGGGAGGTAACTGGATCATGGGAGTGGAGTTCCTGTAACTGATTTAGTAACATCCCCCTTGGTATTATATAGTGAGTGAGTTCACACAAAATCTGGTTATTTAAAAATGTGTAAAACTTGCCCCTTGTTCTCTCTTCCTCCCGCTCTCTCCATGTAAGATGTGCCTGCTTCCCCTTCACTTTCAACCATGATTGAAAATTTTCTGCATCCCTTCCAGAAACCATCATACTTCCTGTACAACTTGTGGAACTGCGAGCCAATTAAACCTCTTTTCTTTATAAATTACCCATTCTCACATATTTCTTTAAAGTAGTGCAAGAATGGACTAGTATACTCTTCATGCCAATAATATTCAGCAGCCAATTTCTGGAAAAACACAACCAACTGTAAATTTTTTTAAGGAATGTGACTTATGTTAATTTTATAATACTACCTAAATAGCAAATGATAAAGGACGATTACTTTCCAGTACTTAAAATACTAATTGGGCTAAATGCCCTGATACTGGTTGGATTTACTACACTTGTTCTTTTCCAAACTTAGAGCTAATTTTCTCTCACACTTCGAAGAAATATACCTAAAAAGTTTGTCAAAATTAGGTAATAGCCCCTGTGGCTTTGCATCGAATACAAATGCCCGTGGCTTTGTGAATTTATGCTAAGACAGCATCTCACCACAGTCCGTTCTGTAGGTAGGGTTTTATTCCATTTGGTGTTTTAATCCTTATACACTGTTAATGTCTAAATTCACCAAACTTCTTGTCATCTATATGCCCACTGAAGTACAAATTTCCAAGGGGAAGCCACAAATACTGACTTCCAAGTTTCTACCATCACTTGGGAGTCCCTGAGTTAGAATCCTCCCTCTAAACTGACCTTTAAGTGGTCATCTCAGTAAGGAAACTCACATAGACTCTGATATGCAACTTTTTTTATGCGTTTCTTGCTATTCTTATAACCTTGACCTAGATTTCTGCAACAGTGCTGGGAAGAGTAGCTTCACGTTAGCTTTTTATAGAACAAACATGGAGAGGTTTACGTGTGGGCTAACACTTCTTGTTGCATTTGACCAAATGCTTTATAAGAAGTCAAGGAATTTCTAGATGTAATTCAAGAGCACACCAATTGTTTATCCAAGATGGGACAAAATAGTTCATGAGATCTTTTCATATGACTAGGACTTGTCATATTGTGTCCGGAATTGGTGTGTTCTTGGTCTTGCTGACTTCAAGAATGAAGCTGCTGACCCTCGCGGTAAAAGTTACACTTCTTAAAGATGGTGTGTCCCGGAGTTTGTTTCTTCAGACGTTCAGATGTGTCTGAAACTTCTTCCTTCTGGTGGGTTCATGGTCTCCCTGACAGCAGTGAAGCTGCAGACCTTGGCGGTGAGAGTCACAGCTCTTAAACGCAGCATGGACCCCAAAACTGCCCAGTAACAAGAGTTCTTGCAAAGAGCAAAAAAACATACCTTCCACCCCACTACAAAAACATCTCACAGGTTCCCGCTGGCTAGCTCAGGCAGTCTGCTTTTATTCCCTTATCTGACCCCTCCCACATCCTGCTGATTGGTCCATTTTACAGAGAGCTGATTGGTCTATTTTACAGAGAGCGGACTGGTCCATTTTGACAGAGTGCTGATTGGTGTGTTTATAATCCTTGAGCTAGACGCAGAGTGCTAGACAGGAAGTTCTCCAAGTCCCCACTAGGTTAGCTAGATACAGAGTACTGATTGGTGTATTTACAAACCCTGAGCTAGACACAGAGTGCTAGACAGAAAAGTTCTCCAAGTCCCCACTAGGTTAGCTAGATACAGAGTACTGATTGGTGTATTTACAAACCCTGAGAGAGACACAGAGTGCTGATTGGTGCATTTAGAATCCTTGAACCAGACATAGAGTGCTAGAAGGAAAAGTTCTCCAAGTCTGCACTAGGTTAGCTAGATACAGAGTACTGATTGGTGTATTTACAAACCCTGAGCTAGGCACAGAGTGATGATTGGTGTGTTTAGGATCCCTTAGCTAGACATAAAAGTTCTCCAAGTCCCCACTAGACTCAGGAGCCCAGCTGGCTTCACCTAGTGGATTCTGCACCAGAGCTGTGGGCAGAGCACCGGCCACCCCCAGCCACGCCTGCACTCCTCAGCCCTTGGACCCTTGATGGGACTGGGCACCATGGAGCAGGAGGCAGCACCCCTCGGGGAGGCAGGGGCTGCTCGGGAGCCAACCACCGGGGCAGGCTCGGACATCAGGGGCTGCAGGTCCCGAGTCCTGCCCCGCAGGGAGGCAGCTGAGGCCTGGTGAGAACTCTAACACAGTGCCAGCCTGCTGGCACCCTCTGCAGCTGCTGACCCTGGTGCTAAGCCCCTCACTGCCCTGGGCCAGCTGTGCCAGCCAGCCGCTCTGTGTGCGGGGCTGCTGAGCCCATGCCTGTGCCCACCAAAACTCACGCTGGCCCACGAGCATGGCACGCAGTCTTTGTTCCCGGGAGCCTCTCCCTCTACACCTCCCTGCAAGCAGAGGGAGGAGGCTCCCACCTTGGCCAGCCCAGATAGGGGCTCCCACAGTGCTGGAGCAGGCTGAAGGGCTCCTTAAGTGCTGCCAGAGTGGACGCCGAGGCCGAGGAGGTGCCAAAAGCCAGGGTTGCTAACACGTTGTCACCTTTCAATATCTAGCAGTTGTACATATGTTCTATGAACATCTGTTGTTTTCCTAATGATTAATCTTAAGTATATTTTTGAAGGGTCTTTAATGGTGTTGAACAGGTGTCTTCCTGTTGTTTTATATATCAGAGTATTCTACATCAAAAGGAGACTCAAGTGATTGAGAGAAACAGTGGAATCTGGAAAGAATGACACCTGAAACAAAGATGGTGGTGGAGAATTGAGAATCTAATAACCCATCTATCCTGCATGTGGTTGTTTTTTTCTCAGAATGAGGGAGAAGTTATAAAGCAAATATCTTTGTTTACAGTAACCTCATAAGTAATATAAAAACTGGCTTGACTTATTATAACTGTATCTAGGGTACCATGAACTTTGAGTGACTGAGTGCTGATGACAGACACATACTATATCTAACTATAGACACTTTTTGACCAATAAACAATGGGGCATGCGGCAAGGCACAGTGGCTCACTCCTGTAATTCCAGCACTTTGGGAGGCCAAGGCAGGCAGATAACTTGAGGTCAGGAGTTCGAGATCAGCATGGCCAACATGGTGAAACCCTGTATCTACTAAAAATACAAAAATTAGCTGTGTGTGGTGGCTCACACCTGTAATCCCAGGTATTCAGAAGGCTGAGGCAGGATCAGGAGGATTGCTTGAATCTGGGAGGCGGAAGTTGCAGTGAGTTGAGATTGTGCCATTGCACTCCAGCCTGGGTGACAGAGGGAGACTCTGTCTCAAAAAAAAAAGAAAAAAAAAAAAAGAAAAAGAAATGATAGGGCATGCTTTAACCGTCAGTATACAGACCTATAAATTCAACTTGTCCTATCCTGAGTGCAAATTTTCAATGCTTAATTAGCATAAATAATATACACTCCTTTGTTCTACAATTTAAAATATCTTGACTTCTTTCCTTTAGTAAACTACTCAGTGAATTTATTCAATGGCATATATTCCCTTGCCAAGCATGCTAATACATGCAGCTCTGTAATTTTTTTAATTGCAAAAATAAGATAGTTTGTCTACAGAAAGTACAACCATTTCTCTTCTGGAATTGAACAATTTTCCTACTAATATGTTAATATTTCTGGGTCCAGGCAAGGGTTGCCCTGTCCCCAGTGGTACACAACCTAACTTTAGACTTCTATGCATCCAGGTTTTTAAAATTTTTGAATTATAGGAAATGTAATTCACATATGTACATGTTTGTGGATAGTTGAGAAAAGAGGTGATGAGGGAGAGCAAGAGTCGAATGAAGAATATAATTTGAAGACATTACATAAATAATTACATTATTTTACATTTTGTTTCTTGGTAGCAGCATTCTGTTTCTATTATAAAGTGTTTTAAAGTGACTGAGCCTCTCATTTTAAGATTCTTTCTTGCCTTTATATAAAAAACAAAGAGACCAATGATTTTCTGTGCTTATTTTAATATCTCATATTGACATTAAATTCATATTTTAATTAGGAAACATAATATTGTAAACTATGGTGTACAGTGTTTCAAAATTTAATTCATTTAAAAAAGATACCTTTTTACAAGTGGTAATGAAAATACATGTGACTAAAAGCAGATCACTGATAATTTTGGGTGGAAAAAAATTTATTAAGGAAAGAAATAAATTGAAGCAGGACATTGTTTTAATATGCATATAATTAATTGTACAACTGTATATTGTGAAATTTAAACACGTTCTAGCCATTTGGATTTTGAAATGCTAGGTAAAATACTAAGTTAAAGATGTGAGGAATCGATATCATCCTTCCGGCATTTTTGTTTCAGCTACATAATAGCTTTCTTAGTAGGTGTGTAAGAAAGCTCCTGATATTTTTGCCTTGATCTAAAGGAAAATAAATGTTCTATAAAGGGTAAATCTATTAATTAGAGACCCACACAACTTTCTTTCTTGCTAGTGTAATCGTTAAATTGATTTTTCCAGTCCATCATGTAATTGCTCCAGCGATGGAATCCTGCTTTCCACTCCCATTCTGCTTCATCAATATTTCCTGTAAAACATAGAATAAGTTGTATTAATCTAAATTTTAATCTGTTTCATTAATTGAAAAACAATTTAGAATACAAAAGCCATTTTCTCTAACTACACTGTACAGCATTATTTTCTTTTTTCACGTATTATTTATTATTTATTATTAGCTCTCTCTGCCCGAAAAGAGATTTTAATAAAATCTTTACAGATTATGTGAAAATGCAAACAATATATATAATTTATGTAAAGTGTAACATATAAAATGGAAAATGAGTTTATATATTGTATTATGCATAATTACATTACATATATTTTCTTTAGTTTTCAAGAAGATGTGTAGATATTACGCTCTTCTCTTGACCCGTTTTAAAATAACATAAATTTAATTTAATGGTCTAATTTACATATATAGTTATAAAACATAATTATTTCTGATGAAAATTATGTATGAATACAGTCATCCTTAGTATTTGTGGGGAGTTGGTTCTAGGACCTCTCAGGGATACCAAAATCCTCAGATACTCAAGTGCCTTATGTAAAATGGCATAACATTTTCATATAAGCTATGCACATCCCTAGATAATTTATACCTAATATAATGAAAGTGCTATGTAAATGTTTATTATATTATATTGTTTAGGGAATAATCAGAAGAAAAAAACATCTGTATATGTTTAGTATAGATGCATTTATTTATCAAATGTTTTTGACTCATGGTTAGGTAAATCCATAGATGTGTAATCCATAAATACAAAGGGCATACTGTATTTATTAACGCATAAGGATAACTTTGTAATTGTCATTCCACATAGATTTTACCCTTATTATAATACATTATTTTATTATTATTTTTTGAGACAGAGTTTCACTCTTGCCACCCAGACTGGAGTGCAATGGCACCATCTCAGCTCACTGCAACCTCTGCCTCCTGGGTTCAAGAGATTCTCCCTCCTCAGACTCCCGACTAGCTGGATTACAGATGCGTCACCACCATGCTTGGCTAATTTTTGTATTTTTGGTAGAGATGGGGTTTCACCATGTTGGTTGGCCAGGCTGGTCTCGACCTCCTGACCCCAGGTGATCCGCCCGCCTCAGCCTCCCAAAGTGCTGGGAATACGGTCATGAGTCACCATCCCCGGTCAATACATTTTAATAGGAAACAATGTTTAGTCATTGTTTCAGCCACTTACTGTGAAAGCAGTTTATTAATTGCGTTGTAAAATAGAAAGATGAGTAAGATAATTTCTGTTTTGAAGTAGTTTGCAAAGTATATGCATGTGTTAGGAGAAAGGAGTTTGTAGGCAGGAATAGTGTGAGGTGGTGAACCACAAATGGTCTACATACTTCAAGAACTTTGAAATTCTGATTTATTTGGAAGTGTATTGTTAAAAAATACAGATTATGAACAGTAAAAACTATTAAATTACCATGTTTTAAGACACATATTTCTGTTCCTGATATAAAGGCATAATAAGCATTATATATAACTGTGGTTTTCTTACTTTTTAAACTTTTAGAATGCTAAGCTACCAAAAAATTTTAAGTAATTTCATGTATACTGAAAGTAGGGACTGGCAACTTTTCTAATACATACTTTTCAGTTAGAAATCTTTGAAATTAATTAAACTTTGTAAGATATTACTTTGGAGGAGAAAATGTAGTGACTCATTTTAAGCTAGTACAAAAATAAAAATACTTAAATATTTTTACAGACATTACAATATCCCTTGTAATTTAGGATATATTTAGGTTTGAAATGTTCATAATGCTTGGATATTGGAAAAATATTTGAAAGTTTACATAAAATATTTCACTTTCATGTAAAATGGCTTTTAAAAAAGTCAATCACTATAATCACTTTTTTGTGTGTGTGAATAATAGAACTTCTATAAAGGGTCAAAAAAGATTACATGTGGAAGAAAGATGTTATGTATCACATCAAATCATCCACTTTTATGGTCTTTTAAAAAATAAATAAATGCTGTTTTCAATGTTACTTATATAAAATAAAAACTCAAGTCCAGAAAATCTTTTCTTGGTAAATAAATTTTTGGTAATTTAAAATTTAGACCATGAATTTTAATCCTTATAGAAAGTGTCCTAGATCTGATTTTCTTTTCTTGTTCATGGAATAATACCAAATTCACTGATTTATATAAATTTACATTTATTTCCTATATGCCATAATCAAATGTCTATACAATTTAAATGCTTTTAAGTGCACAAATGCTCTATAAATCTAAACACTATTCTGCTTTAGAAATAGGGGGCATTGATTAAGACAATAAACTATGAAATATTTAATTATTTTCTAACAAAATCCAGAGAAAGCGAATATGCCATAAAAGTAAATACAATATTGAGTTTGAAATAAATCAAATTCAAAATTAAAAGTTTTCCTCTTTCATCTTCTTCTTTTTTAAGTCCTCCTCTCTTTCTTTTTTCTTCTTATTTCATATTGGCTTGTTTATTACTAAGACAACAAAATCTAGTCACAACTCAATTTTCATATTATTATCAACATCAGCAATATTCATGATTAAAAACCATCTAACTTAAATGGTTGGAACATCATAATAAAAAAGTGAGGGCTGGCACATTATAAACAGAGATTAAACTTGATTAGCAAATTTTAACTTACTTAAAATTTGAGGGAATAAAGACCTTTATGGTCGACAATGTATTTGCTTTACAATTGATTAATTAAAACATAATTATACTGTAGAACGGTCATAATGCTCAAACAATGTAAGTTTCTTAGAATTGTAACCTCAACCAAAATGCAGGCTTCTAACTCAATGTACTTATTGTAAAGGAATCAATATATGTTTTGTATGAATTCAGAGATATAAAGGAAGAATAACGCTGCCACCGATGTTTCTTTTCATGCCTCATGGTGTCTGAAAGTCCATAAATGTAATGATAATAGCAACGTTGATTGTCATTCTCTAAGTATAAATACTTTTTATAAGAAAGGGAAAAATAATCAAATTCTGAATGAGAGAAGAGAAAGAAATGTGTAGAGAGAAAAAGAAAGTGGAGGCTTGATACTAAATTCACAGGTCAAATATTGATGTGATGTTTTCTTTAAAGAAGATAAAAATTAATTTTAGAAATAAAGAACCCTAACTTGTAGAAAGAGTTTTTTTTATTATTTTCTCTTCTTTATAGTGGTAACATTTTGTGTTTTGGATACTGTGAACAAAATGGAAAGATTACCATAATATATTACGGTTTTAATTATATTTTATCAAGAAAAATGATGAATCAATTGATTGACCTTTCCAGATTCTTATGTAGAGAGTAAATATAAAGTCCTCTTTATGCATACTACAATGATCATACTATATAATAATATGTATAAAAAGTGTCTTAATTCATAATATCAACAATAGGTCACATAGTATTTATCCATTGACCCCAGCTGATGGCATTTAAATAATACATGTAAAATACAGTAATACAGAGGAGTGAAAATAAAAGAACAAGGGCAAATATATAGCAGAAATGTAAATAAAATAAACAAATCAGAGTTGGCAACATGTATAGCAGGTATGGTAACAATCAAGGCCAAAAAATAAATGCGTAAATAAGTATATATTAATAGGATTTTAAATCTTCAATATTAATAAAGCTTACAACTCTCATAATTATTTTTCAGAGAAATATCTTCATGATTGTAGAATTTCATGCATCTTTATTATTTCTTAAATAAAAATAGAGCAGAAATAATTAAGGACATCGAGGACCTTATTCATATAACTATGTAGTAAGAATATAGTTGATTTAAAGTATATGTAACCTTAGAGATAGATAGTTTACTTTTGTCAAAGAAAAACAATGTGTTAAAAATAATGTGTTGTTACATTAATTATCACTCCCAATAGAACTTACTAAATTTGCATTTAATACATAAATATGTAAAATAGGAAACTGTATAATTTATTTTTTATAAAATAAATTTCATGTCAAGTTGTCAAAAGATCAAATAGACATATCAGTTAAAAAGATTATCTAATACTTAAGACAGTTTGTGAATATTTATAACTTACACATATGTATAGAGATATTAAAAAACAAGTTTCTCCAAAGCAAATCTCTGTGTGCAAGGGCAAAGCAAATTTGCAAGTACAAATGTTTAAAAGAAAAAGTAAAAAATATATACACAGTTGACCTTGAACAACAGGAGTCTGAACTGCACAAATCCACTTATATGTGGATTTTCTTCCACCTCTGTCACTCCAGAGACAGCAAGACCAACACCTCCTTTCCCCTCCTCCTCCTCCTCCTCAGCCTACTCAATGTGAAGATGACAAGTATGAAAACTTTTATGATGATCAACTTCCACTCAATTTCTCTATCTTATGATTTTCATTTTCTTTACAACAGCTTACTTTATTATAATAATATAGCATATAATACAAATATTATTCATAATATATGGTAATCAAATGTTTATGTTATTGGTAAGGGCCAGTCAAGTAGGCTTAATTAGTCAACTTAATCAGTAGTTAAATTTTTGGGGATTCGAGAGTTACAGGCATATTTTCAACTGTGCAAGGGTTGGTGCCCCTAATCCCCAAGTTGTTTTCCAGAGTCAACTGTTTATGCAAACATAAATGATATTTCCAAATTTGCATTCAGAGGCAAATTTACTAGTAAGTCCTTTTCACTAAAACAAGAAAAAGCAATTTTAGATTAATTTTTAAAGCATAAATAAAATAAATATAAGAGAAGTGAATATATTCCTGATGCGAATGAACCAGCAAACAAAAGAAGCTATTTGGAAGAACGACCCTACCTCAGAAATGAAATTATCATGTTGATGCCATAATAGTCTTACATACTCTAAGAAGACAAAGGTAAAAAATAAAACTCGTGAATATAGTAAAAGCTTATACATTTATGAATCAATAACCAGAACATGTCAGTTTCCCATTTAAAATTACTAAATGGCTTTACTTAGGATATAATTTAAATTCCTAAGCATGATACACAAGACACTTCATCTCTGATTCC